CAGCATATCAAAGAACCCCATATATTCAATTTTTTGTTGAAATCAAACAAAGTTTAAATACTGGACCCTATCTTGGACCAACTTGAAAACTGGGCCCATAATCAAAAATCTAAACACAAGTTTAGATTCAGCAAATCAAAGAACCCCAAGAATTAAATTTTTGTCAAAATCAAACTAAGTTTAATTTTGGACCCTTTGGACCTCAATGTAGACCAATTTAAAAAACAGGACCCAAAATTAAAAACCTAAATACACGGTTAGATTTGGAATATCAAAGAACCCCAATAATTCAATTTTAGATGAAATCAAACAAAGTTTAATTTTGGACCCTTTTGACCTCAATATGAACCAATTAGATAACGGGGTCCACAAATAAAAAATCTAAATACATGGTTAGATTCAGCATATCAAAGAACCCCATATATTCAATTTTTGTTGAAATCAAACAAAGTTTAATTTTGGACCCCAATTTGGACCAACTTGAAAACTGGGCCAAAAATCAAAAATCTAAATACATGTTTAGATTCAGCATATCAAAGAACCTCATATATTCAATTTTTGCTAAAATCAAACAAAGTTTAATTTTGGACCCTTTGGACATTAATGTAGACCAATTTGAAAACTGGACCCAAAATTAAAAATCTAAAAACACTGTTAGATTCGGCATAACAAATAAATAAATGTGATCAAAGATTTTACAAATCTAATGCGCCATACTGTGCAATTAAAGATTACTTCTTGAAATTTTTCAATATTTGAAATTTGAAAAAAAAATAATATTTGAAGAATAATTCTTTTTAATTTCTGAAATCGGAAATGAGAAAAAATTGGCCCCCCACAATTTCTTTTTATCCCCCCCCCCTTTTTCCCCCAAAAAAATTCTTTCCCTCAAGATATGGTCATAATCTCAATTCAAATTTCCAATGGAGTTGGCAACCATAATTACCCATTTAAATTTACCATAGTGCTAACTTAATCTATTTTATAATAGAATTAATAAAAATATAGTGTCAAATCTTTCATATGGATTTTTTTGTAAAAAAAAAAGATGAAAACATTTGCAGATATTTTTACTGGTCTTCCTTTATAAATATGCATTTCTTTAAACATAATTTAAAAGCAGTGTAAGGGAAGTAACCAAAACGTTGTATTTGGATTACCTCCCTTACACTGTTTTAGATTATCTTTATTGTTCATTAACCATTACTTTATACATAATTTAAAAGCAGTGTAAGGGAGATAATTTCAATGATGTATTTGATTTATCTCCCTTACACTGCTTTAAATTATGTTTTGTACTAAAGTATTTGTCCATTAACCAGGACAACCTTGTTTTTCCCCCTTTTTTGCCCGTAATTCCTAAACGGTTTGAGCCATAACCCCCCAAAGCAAATCCTAACCATCCCTTTGTGGTATGGAAACTTGTAGTATAATTTCAGAGAGATCCATACACCGTTCCACAGTTATTGTCTGGAAACTAGAAAATGCTCATTTTTGGCCCCTTTTTGGCCCCTAATTCCTTAACTGTTGGTACCATAACCCCCAAAATCAATCCCAACTTTCCTTTTATGGTATTTAACCTTATGGTCAAATTTCAAAAATATCCATTCACTTACACTAAAGTTAGAGTGCGAAAACCAATATGTATTCGGACGACGACGCTGGACGACGACGACGACGACGCCGGACGACGACGACGACGACGACGACGACGACGACGCCAACGTCATACCAATATACGACCACAAAATTTTTTTGCAGTCGTATAAAAACTAAAGGGAGGTTATTTAAATAGATATAAACCAGTCACCAAAGTTTCATGAAAACTGCTCAAAGCACTTTTGAGTTATAATTGTCCGAAAACTGGAAAATCAATCATTTTTTTATGAATAAAATCCCATAACTCGAAAACGTAAAATCTAAAATTTATAAAAATCGAAAGGGAGCTTACGTCAATAGATATAAACAATTCAGCAAAGTTTCATGAAAACTGCTCAAAGCATTTTGGAGTTTATAGTCTGAAAACTGGAAAATCCCCCTTATTTAATGAATAAAACCCCATTACTCGAAAACGTTAAGTCTAAAATTCATAAAAATCAAAAGGGAGCTCACATCAATAGATATAAACAATTCACCAACGTTTCCTGCTAATTGGTGAAAGTGTTTTGAGTAATTATCCGAAAATTGGCCCTTTTTTAATGAATAAAACTCCATAACTCGGAAACGTACAATTTAAAATTTATAAAAATCGAAAGGGAGATCACGTCAATAGATATTAACAATTCACCAAAGTTTCATGCAAATTGGTTTAAGCGTTTTTGAGTTATTGTCCGACATGTTGACTACGGACAGACGGACAACGGTATACCACAATACCCCGTATACGGGCGTGTAAAAAGAAAGACTAAAGACAGTACACAAAACACAACATAGAAAACTAAAGACTGAGCAATATGAACCCCAACAAAAACCATGGGATGATCTCAGATGCTCTGGAAAGGTAAGCAGATCCTGTTCCACATGTGGCACCCGTTGTGTTGCTCATGCAAGTACAAACCTGCTGTTAAGTCGAATTCGGTTGGTCATATTCGGGGGGAAAAGACGACATAATTGTTGTTATGACGATTGGAACATATGTGTCGTAATCTGTGAAATAGATACTCCATAACGGTCAACCAACTCCTGATAGCGTAAAGTTTTTGAAGGGTTGATTAATAGCTTACTTGTAAGCTGAAACCCTCTAACAAGGAAATCTTGATGGGAAACACAAGCCCTGGAATATTGTATTAACTGGGAGATATATACTGTATATGCAGTCGCTGCTGGAATGTTGCTACATAGAAATGGAAAGTTCAAAATTGGGAAGCTAAAATCATCTCTTTTATCTTAAAGATTTGTTCTCAACCTACCCTCATTGTCAATTTCTAGATGCAAGTCAAGATATGAGACTCTTTACTGTATCTGTATCTGTGGTATCCTTTGTTTCAAGGTTGATGGGATAGATGTTTTCAACATAGTCACCAAACTGAATTATTTAACTAAATAGAGAAAAGTGAAGTTAAAGGATAATGCTAGCTTCTTTTCATTCTTCCTAAGAAGCTCCTGTATGAAGTCAGCATCATATGGATAAAGGAACAAGTCTGCAAAAAGAGGAGCACAGTTATTTCCCATGGGAATGCTGATTGCTTGTTGAAAAACATGTCCTCCAAACGTAACAAATATGTTGTCCATGAAGAAATCAAGCATCTTGATGATGTCAGTTTCAGAGAACTTTTGGTTTGAATCAGAGTGGTGTTTTACAAAGTAGGATTTATCCCTTTCTAAGACAAGATACTTTTATCTATGTTGGCCATTCTTTTTTATAAAACTCTTTCAATTTATCTTTTAGTTTGGAATGGGGAATACTTGTGTAACAGCTCAGGAAGAGGGAATATATTTTTCATGCAGAACATTTAGTACAAATTATCTACATTAGGAATGATGCAGGAAACCCACTCTTTTGCAACTTTTTTTTAGAAACATTTGAAATTCAATGATTTTAACAAGAATGTAAAGAGAAATCTTCTAATGTGTAGCATATTTTTTATATGCCATATATAATAATTGGCTTAATAATTTCCAGATAGAGGCATTAAAAATTCCACCAATAACAATAAAAATAAATAATTAACTTTTATCTAAATTGGTGTTCATTCTACATTAACATGATTAAGGAAAACATACATTTCCTGTATTCAAATATACATGTACATATACCAAATGCTGAGATTATTTCAATTACTGTTAAATAGCAATATAATGGGGGATATACATATAAATTTATTTCAGAAAATGCTCAGGTAAGAGTTATGCAATTGTGTTTATTGCTTCAACCAAATAAATGGGGAATATGTCCATGGGACACAGATGATGCCCCCGCTTGCATATCATATAAAGTTATAAAGGGACATAACTGAAGAATGGTAACGAAAAATTCAGCAATTTTTCCATTTGTAAAGGGCATAACTCTAGAACGGTTAAAGTGACACCACCAAAATTCAAACTTTGTTCGCTATGGAGATTCCGTATATCTTCAGGTTATCGGAATTCCCATGGGGACTTACTGTGCACCACTTATTGCGGACCTGTTTCTATATTGTTATGAGTTACAATTTATGACTAAAATCAGCAAAGACCCATCGAAACAACATCTGATTCAAAAATTTAATAACACTTTTAGATATTTAGATTATATATTGGCTCTCAATAATGACGACTTCAGTATGTACACTAAAGAGATTTATCCTGCCGAACTGACTTTAAATAAAGCTAATACTAACAATGAACACTGCCCTTTCCTTTTCTTGATATCTTTATCTTTAACAGGAAGCTTAACACCAAAATTTATGATAAAAGAGATGATTTTTCATTTCCTATTGTTAATTATCCGTTTTTAGATGGTGATGTTCCCTTGTCGCCATCTTATGGTGTTTATGTATCTCAACTTGTTCAATTTGCTTGTGTATGTAACAACGTATTTGATTTCAACGAAAGAAATCTCTCTATTACTGAAAAATTATTACACCAGGGTTTTTGATATCACAAACTAGTCAAAACATTTACTAAATTTTATCATCGGTACAAGGACATCATTCGTAAATATAAATCAACATGCAGACATCTTATACGTTCAGGTATTTCACATCCAATATTTTATGGTAATATTCTTTACAAACCACAAAAATGTCGGCATTCACCTCAAAAGCTAACCAAACCTTTAAACAGACTTATTCGGAAAGGATATAGTTACGATACTGTTGTCAAGACAGACAGACAGAGTGCAAACCTAAAGTCCCCTTCGACTTCGTCGGTTGGGGACTAATAAAGTTAAATTCTAACAAAAAGTGTGAAATTACCAAAGCAAATGAAAATGTTTATGTTGACATGAAAATCAGTAAAGAAATGAATGAAAGTACTATTTTTAAACTTGCAGATTTGTATATACAAGGATTACAATGTAATAAAAACAACTTGTATGTATTTTATTGTGAAACACAAGTTTTATGTACAAACATGTAAATTAAGAATGACTTATAATAACCCTTGGCTTTTTAAAATTTGATCCTAAAACATTTTAAATGTTAAAAATAAATTTAATTGCGACATTTTTTGAATTTTTACCGTTTTAACATAATAATGATAATGCTGTAATATAATGTAATGATATCAATGTGAAAATAAACATGTCATAAAAAACAGACTAAAACATCCAATATTTTCAATCTTTTTCTGTTAATTTCAAATCAATCATTTGAGATTATGTCCATTCAATATCTTCCATGTCGATCTCTATCTCGACGATGTCCTCCACCGCCTCCTCCTCCTCCACGTTCTCGACTCCTTGACCTACTGGACCTACGCTCCCTACTTCTTGATCTTTTTCCTCTGTTTTCCCTGCCAGCACTTCTACTGCGACTTCTTCTTGTTGGAGGTGACCTTGACCTTGACCTGACAATGTATAGACATATAAACAGTCAAAATCCATATTTTATTTTCAAAAATATTCTTGTGAAAAAAAGGGGAAAAAGTACATCCCATAATATATTCAGTATAGCTTTTACACTTAGAATTATTAGCTTATCTGTGGCATGCCATTTTATGTTTAACACCCTTCTGACTTTTCAAAATACAATAATGTTTGAAATTACTTATCCTTCACTGTGTTGTGATATTTTTTTCAGCTTATCCATCAGAATGCTATGCTGATTTTACTAATTTTCTAATGTGAATTATTCACATAAAATAAACTAGGTTAGGGGAGGGTTGGCGCCTTCAAACTACATTCTGTATGTGCCTGTCCCAAGTCAGGAGCTTGTAATTCAGTGGTTGTTGTTTGTTGCTGTGTATCATATTTGTTTTTCATTCATTATTTTGTACATAAATTAGGCCGTTAGTTTTCTCATTTGAATTGTTTTACATTTGTCATTTCAGGGCACTTTATAGCTGACTATGTGATATCAGTTTTACTCATTGTTGAAGGCCGTACCATGACCTATAGTTGTTAATTTCTGTGTCATTTGGTCTCTTGTGGAGAGTTGTCTCATTGGCAACCATACAACATCTTCTTATTTTTATATTCTTAAACTTCATTTATGTTCTCTTATGATGATTACACCCATACGGATCACATCTTAGTTCTCTTGAAATTGGTTTCTTACCTTCTCTTACGACGACTACGGCCATACAGCTCACGTCGGAGTTCTCTTGATATTGGTTTCAGATGCATGAAGTTACAGAATCCACCTCTGGTACATTCTCTGAAATTATAGAGTCAGTATAGTCTTTGTTGTTGGCTTTTTGTAAATTTGAAAATAAAACAATTCATCTCGAAAATGCTTAACAACAGTTCACTCTTCATAGAATGGGAATCATGTGTTGACTCTTATGACCACTTAATGTAAGTAATGTTTTATGTAGTAAGTACTTTATCCATAAGTTCAGAATATTTTGCATGTGTAAGAGTAAAAAAAAACTCAACATAGAAAAAAAATTTTTTTATTTTCCTTTGAATTTGTTTTTTTTGTTTTTTTAAAGATCTAGAGTAATTGTTTAGTTACACAATTAAGTGGAGAAATATATGAATACTTTGCTTTTGATCCTTACACAATTAGCAATCCTGTCTTGTTTAACTTTGTATCTATTTACACTATTCTCTACTGTCTGTTTGATTTTGTATCTATTTACCCCATTCCATACTGTTTGTATGATTTTGTATCTATTTACCCCATTCCATACCACCTGTATGATTTTGTATCTATTTACCCCATTTCATACTGTCTGTATGATTTTGTTTCTATTTACCCCATTCCATACAACCTGTAAGATTTTGTATCTATTTACCCCATTTCATACTGTCTGCAGCAAGCTTCTCTGAAGTCTGTTACTGGTGACAATTCAGCGTGGATTGGTCGACCATTGAACCAACGGTTGTTCAAATCATTTACAGCTTTCTCTGCATCTTCTTCATAACGAAACTATCAAAACAAAAAATAAATACTTAGCCAACACTTCATTCAGTTTAAAACTACAAATTTTAACTGCAGAGAAAACCTGAGTACCAGCTTGCAAATCATGGGTAAATCACTTACAATTGAACAAAAAAAGTTGAATCAACAATCTGCTTTAGAAAAATAATTGACTAGTTAGTTAATGACTTTTTACAGTAATTACACCTTGTGCCACCTTGTGCAACTTTTAAAACATGGAACATGTTAGCGGACTTTCAACACAGTTTAAACCATGGAAATCTTTATTTTGTCATATAAAAATAAGCTTATATCCAAGATCTATTTCAGTTGAATAAAAAAGTTGTGGGGTTTACATGTTTTTGAGACAGCAAATCAAACACACAACTTACCTTGATGTATACATTTCCAACTAAATGATCTCCAAGATTGTCACAGACATTCATTTCTTCTATTTCACCATACTGAAAGATATAGTCAATATTTTCAAATTTTTTCCAATATAAAGTGAGAAAAAGAGGAAATCTAAGATTTATAATGTCATAGTCATAAATCAAGTAAATATTAAATAAAATATATCTTTTTAAACTAACAGAATCATTAGCTATGAATTCGACAAAAAAAAAAAAAATGATTTTGTTTTGTTGCAAACATTTATAAAAGCGTAATAAAGAAAATAACATTTCGCAATTAGCAGTCAATTTTGTCCAATTTTGTATATGCTAACTTGTTCTATAACTTGTCATGGTGTAAACAAAAAGTAAATATCATGGCAATTTCTTCAAGCATGACTAAAAACAAGTGTGGAAAACTGATTATATGAGTGAAAAAAACATTAGATACGATTACTAGTTCTCTAAAATTAGATATGATGTAATACAGTGTATATCTATTTTCAAATTATAATCAAATATAATTAATAGTTCCAAATATTTTTTCTTTCATTTGTCACAAACTAATATAGATTTGTAACTTATCTATAAAATGTCAACAACTTTTATCTACACAATGTAATGTATTGAAATATATACATTAATAAAAATAGATTATTATCTAATTAAAGGATTTCTCTTCATAATTTTTTTATATGTATATAGCATTCAGAAAATTAGTTTATACTAAATAACAAAGAAACCTGCCAAAAAATTCTTCAAATAATTTAACAAAGAATGTCTTTTAAAAAATGAGTTATCTCCCTTTGTACAGAAAAATGGTTTAACATAGTACTCTCATTAGATATGGTCCAGAGTTATGGTCCATAACTCTGAACTAAATCATCAGACCGGAACAAAATTCGAACTTGATCTATAACTTGTCATGATAAAACTATATACCAAATATCAAATCAATATCTTCAAGAACAAAGAAAAAAAGTGTGGAAAGCTGATTTGCCGGACTGACGGATGGACAGACGGACGGAGTGCAAACCTAAAGTCCCCTTCGACTTCGTTGGTAGGGGACTAATAAGCTAAAAAAAACATCACTGATGTATTCATGGCTTGCAAGTCAATAATTCAACTCATTTGAATTCGTACTCATGCAACCTTTATTTAACCTTTAGTGGAGATGGGTTGCGCATGTGTTAAGTCTATAACATGAAATCAAACAGACCTGGAAAAATCATCATTATATGATTGCACTTGCTTGTCTGTCTATTTATATTTATGATTATATCGGGTTTTATGCTGTTGGCAGTGTTTGGAGGTGACATCTCGATGGATAATTAGATGGGTCTAGTCTCAAATATGCAGTACATGCTGATACATTAAAGCAAGTACATGCATTGTTAATTGTTTTTTCTGGACTTTATGTAATTTGGACCCTATCTAACAGTAAAGACTAGAATAGAATTCATGATAAAAATCTCATTTTTGTTGATCTTGTATTGCTTATTATTTTTTCTGCTTACAGTTTCTCTTTATCTTTAGTTGTTGTTCAAAACATAGAAAAATGTAAAAAATCACATCCTATCAAGGATCTACCAACAATTTCGACAAAATATAAATTATTTGTAGATCTTGTCTTGCTGATCATTTTTGCTATTTAAAGCATATATCTATCTTTTATTGTTTTCAATATAATAGACAAAAACGCAAAACATTGGTAAAAATTGTAATTAAAAAGGAAGAAATTCATATTTGTCTTATTTGAAGATCTTGTCTTGCTGATCAGTTTTTGCTTATTTAAGTCTTTATCTATTTAATATAATTTTTAAGATAATAGACAATAAAATGCTCCGCAGGGCGCAGCTTGATACGACCGCAGAGGTCGAACCCTGAACAGTTGGGGCAAGTATGGACACAACATTCAAGCTTGATACAGCTCTGAATTTGGATTGTGATTAAATATTTGACACAGCATAGGTTTCTGACACAGAATGAATGTGGTCTAAGAACTTAAAAAATTTAAATTGGACATTCACCTATTATGGTCCAATATCCAAAATCTAAATACATGGTTAGATTCAGCATATCAAAGAACCCCAAGAATTCAATATTTGATGAAATCAAACAAAGTTTAATTTTGGACCCTTTTGACCTCAATGTGGACAAAGTTGATAACGGGGCCCAAAAATCAAAAATCTAAATACATGGTTAGATTCAGCATATCAAAGAACCCCATATATTCAATTTTTGTTGAAATCAAACAAAGTTTAATTTTGGACCCCGATTTGGACCAACTTGAAAACTGGGCCCATAATCAAAAATCTAAATACATGTTTAGATTCAGCATATCAAAGAACCCTAAGAATTCAATTTTTGTTAAAATCAAACTAAGTTTAATTTTGGACCCTTTGGACCTTAATGTAGACCAATTTGAAAACGGAACCAAAATTTAAGAATCTAAATACACAGTTAGATTCGGCATATCAAAGAACCCCAATAATTCAATTTTTGATGAAATCAAACAAAGTTTAATTTTGGACCCTTTGGACCTCAATGTGGACCAATTTAAAAACGGGGCCCAAAATCCAAAAACTAAATACACGGTTAGATTCAGCATATTAAAGAACCCCATGAAATCAAGAATAAAACCCCATTGAAATTGGTCAAGAAATAAGCAATTTATAGGAAGTATCTTCTTTTGCACAATCCTGTGCTATTAAATATTTCTTGCTATTGCGCAATACTGTACAATTGACAATTTCTTGCTATTGCGCAATATTGTGCTATTGGATATTTCTTGCTATTGCGCAATACTGTGCAATTGAAGATTTCTTGCTATTGCGCAATACTGTGCAATTGAAGATTTCTTGCTATTGTGCAATACTGTGCAATTGAAAATTTCTTGCTATTGCACAATACTTATTATATAATAATTTACACATCCTGTTTGGTGTGTATCTCCTACCATATCATTATTATTTGATTTTAAATATAAATCAGAAATAACCAACTTAAAATGGAAAATTTTAAAAGAAACAAAAAAGGAAAAAAAGAAAAAAAAGGAAAAAAAAAATAAATCCCCCCCCAAAATTTTTTGAACCCCCATTATGATTCATCACCCCCAAACTCAATCCCAGCCTTCCCTTTGTGGTATGGTACCTTGCAGTACAATTTCAGAGAGATCCATACACTTGAACACAAGTTATTGTCTGGAAACTAGAAAAAAATGTGTTTTTTGGCCCCTTTTTGGCCCCAAATTCCTAAACGTTTAGGGCAATTACCCCCAAACTCAAACCCAGCTTTCCCTTTGTGATATGGAACCTTGTAGTACAATTTCAGAAAGATCCATACACTTACACACAAGTTATTGTCATGAAACTAGAAAAATGCTTGTTTTTTGCCCCTTTTTTGGCCCCTAATTCCTAAAATTTGGAGGCAATTACCCCCAAAATCAATCCCAGCATTCCTTTAGTGATATGGAACCTTGTGGTACAATGTCAGAGAGATCCATACACTAACACACAAGTTATGTCAGGAAGTTACAAAAATGCTTATTTTTGGCCCCTTTTTGGCCCCTAATTCCTTTACTGTTATTACCATAACCCCCAAAATCAATCCCAACCTTCCTTTTGTGGTATTGAACCTTGTGGTAAAATTTCATAAAGATCCATTCACTTAAACTAAAGTTAGAGTGCGAAAACCAATGTGTCTTCGGACGACGCCAGACGACGCCGGACGACGACGACGACGACGACGGACGACGACGGACGACGACGACGCCAACGTCATACCAATATACGACCACAAAAATTTTTTTGCGGTCGTATAAAAACAATAAAAAATGGGTAAAAACCATTATTCCATATTGATAAAACTTTAGTAGGTTTTTCTATATGAATTGGATTTTGAATAAATAAGCATATTCACCTGCGGAAAAAGTATATTCACCGCGCAAAACGTCGCGTGCTTTTACGTGTATAATAACGATACACTGTTTGACGTTTAGTTGGTTTTGGTAAATAACTGTTATTTTATACATATTTTTCTCGCACGGAACATGGAATAAAACAATTACTGTCTTTTGTTTCGGTAAATATGTGGTTTAATTGACTTTTGAAAAACCTAGTGACATTCACTTCGGCCGTTGGCCTCAGTGAATATCAGTTTTTCAAAAGTCAATAAAACCACACATTTACCTCATCAAAAGACAGTAATTGTATATTATTAGAGGGCAATAATTCCAATAAGGAGTCACCTGATTACTTCTGCCAAAAGGCTTCTTTGTCAATGTTTGTAGATCTTGTCTTGATGATCATTTCTGTTTATTTAAGTTTTTACCTATCTAATATAGTTTTTAAGATATTCAACAAAAACGAAAACATATTGGTAAAGAACACCATTTAAGGGCAATAACTCCAATAAGGAGTTGTCAGACGATTTCAGTTTTGTTGACTTACTAGTAGATCTTGTCTTGCTGATCATTTTTGCTGTTTGAAATGTTTTTTTTATCTAAAATAATTTTCAAGATAATAGGCAATAAAATGCTCCGCTGGGGCGCAGCTTGATACGACCGCAGAGGTCAAACCCTGAACAGTTGGGGCAAGTATGGACACAACATTCAAGCTTGATACAGCACTGAATTTGGATTGTAATTAAATATTTGACACAGCATAGGTTTCTGACACAGAATGAAAGTGGTCTAAGAACTTATAATTTTTTAATTTACCTATTCATATATGTGATGGACTGTGAAACTCAGATCAGGAGATTGGGAAATTTTGGTCAGGAGATTAGGACTCAGATCAGGAGGTTTTTAATCGACATAAATTTTGTCGTAAATGTAACCGTGTGCTGTAAAAATGGTCTTTTAAAGTGTGTTTTCTTCAACTTTCCATCCAATTTATTATGTTTATAGTACCCTTGTACTTATAAAGTATCTCCATCTTTATATTTTACATGTTCAATCTAACATTTTTTTTTTTCAGTATGTTCTTTAAATTTTTTACTTCATATTCTATAAAACATTTATTGCAACCAGAACATTTGTTTAACTATCTGCAAATAGCTTTTGTTTGCATACTCAGAAAATCATTCTAACTGTAAAACAAGGGTCATAGTTATTATATAAATTTCAATTTAAGCCTTGAAAGGAAGTATAGAATCCTCAAATAATTTTCAAATTATTATTTTTTTATTTGTCCTAAGACATTTAAAATCATTTATTTACCATCCTTTTATGATTATTTGTTCAATTTATATTTTATTTATATTCTTTTAAAAATTTTCATTATTAAAAGGAAAGTAACTTAAAACAGGATAAATCAAGGGAAGTAACCCAATAAATACACAGTATTTGTTACACAACGGCAGTTAGCCTGAGGTAAAAAATCGTTGATTACCAGTATGTTTGACACCCAAGCTGACAAGTGAAGCCATATAATTATGCATGTTAATTGATTTACAGGTAAAATATAACTTCAGGTAATGTGAGTTACACCAGATGCCTGAGATGATATGTTGGGCAGAAATTTTTCATTCATGAAAAATTTTATACACAGGATTATAATTTTCCTCTTCAACCAGAGGTCGGGAGGAGACTCCTGAAAACAGGATTATTGTACTCCTGTCGGGAGGTTCACATGTATGCTATTCAAACCATATCATTATTATTTGCTTTTATATATAAATCAGAAATAACCAATTTAAAATGGAAAATTTTAAAGAAAAAAAAGGAAAAAAAAATCCCCCCCCCCAAATTTTTTGAACCCCCTTATGATTCATCGCCCCCACACTCAATCCCAGCTTTCCCTTTGTGGTATGGTACCTTGCAGTACAATTTTAGAGAGATCCATTCACTTGAACACAAGTTATTGTCTGGAAACTAGAAAAATGCTTGTTTTTTTGTCCCTTTTTGGCCCCTAATTCCTAAACGTTTAGGGCAATTACCCCCAAACTCCAACCCAGCTTTCCCTTTGTGATATGGAACCTTGCAGTACAATTTCATAAAGATCCATACACTTACAAACAAGTTATTGTCCTGAAACTAGAAAAATGCTTGTTTTTTGCCCCTTTTTGGCCCCTAATTCCCAAAATTTGGAGGAAATTACCCCCAAAAATCAATCCCAGTATTCCCTTTGTGATATGGAACCTTGTGATACAATGTCAGAGAGATCCATACACTTACACACAAGTTATTGTCATGAAACTAGAAAAATGCTTGTTTTTTGCCCCTTTTTGGCCCCTAATTCCTAAAATTTGGAGGCAATTACCCCCAAAATCAATCCCAGCATTCCCTTTGTGATATGGAACCTTGTGGTACAATGTCAGAGAGATCCATATACTTACACACAAGTTATGTCTGGAAGTTACAAAAATGCTTATTTTTGGCCCCTTTTTGGCCCCTAATTCCTTAACTGTTAGTACCATAACCCCCAAAATCAATCCCCACCTTCCTTTTGTGGAATTGAACCTTATGGTAAAATTTCATTGAGATCCATTCACTTAAACTAAAGTTAGAGTGCGAAAACTAATGTGTATTCGGACGACGACGACGACGACGACGACGCCGCCAACGTCATACCAATATACGACCACAAAAATTTTTTTGCGGTCGTATAAAAACACTAAATTTGGGTAAAAATCTAGATTAAAGAGCAATAACTCCAATAAGAAGTCGTCTCGACACCAAGTAACGAGAAAGATCGCCGGGCCAGGTGAGCTAAAAAGTACAATTACAGCAATAAGAAATGTCACTGGTCTCATGAGCTTCTACATTTATATTAATCATACAAAGACATTTAGTAAAGTTCCTTCTTATAAAATTAACCCTTTCAAGATATAATGCAAGCAGGCTTAGGTGGTTTTGAATTGCTGTCATAGTTATCAGGTGTTAATATCTGCAATTGGGTTCATACTCATGTTTGTAAAATAAAATGAATTAGCGAAGTTTAAACTTAAATGTTCTTAAAATATATGAATAAAGTCTACAGACAAAGTTTTAAGGGAACTTATAGTGTTTACCACCCATCACAGTTTCTAAGCATGCTTGTGTATTATATCTTGAAAGGGTCTATGACAATTTCATATATCAATGAAAGGATTATCTATAAGGGACTAGATATGGACACAATTTCTCATCCTACCTTCTCCATTTCTACATAGATTTCTTCAAAGAATTCATCGTAGTGTTGTTGGATCTCAATTTCATCCATATGGACTGATAAAAAAATAAACAGAGGCAAAATATATAATTACACACAAACAGGGTTAGTCAATCCTTTTATGTCTGGGAACACTGCTGGCTACAAATTAAAAAAGCCATAGTAACTGTCACACACTTTGTGATGCAAAATATCCAACAGGTTAATATCATTTGAAATTAATCTGATATTTTCGTCATAAAAAAGGGTCCACAATTTTTATTGAGAAATTCTACATCTGTAGTTTTGATATTTTCAGTAAATTAAAGATTTGACAGTTTATCAATATTTTGCATTGAATGTATGTGACAATTACTGAATCTGTAATAAAACGGGTGTCATTATATAATTACCTTATCCTCTAACTCGGTAAATACTTCTTCAAAGAAGTTGTCAAAATCTTGCTGGGCCTCAACATCATCCTGTACAACTAATATAAAACATATATCCTCATAACCTTCTAGTTTTATCCTAACTTTAAAACCAAAGATTTGATTTAGGAAATCGAGTAAAATTATTCAAAAAGGCTGTGCAATAATTCTTTTCTGACAAAAAATTATGGGATTTTAGAAATATCAGCTTTTGTCTATGGCAAATAATAAGCAAATGAGGTATGCACTTTCTTTTCTGAGAGTAGATAAGGTGCCTATAATGAGTTTAGTCCACCTCTACACACTTTTACTATGACAAAGCCTACCATGGAATATATACCGCCATCGAGGCATCATGTTGTCCTTACTCCGTGGCTTTTAATAGATTACAACTGGAAAATATTTCAATTCCATCTCATGTGGCTAACACAAACCAGGTCGTATGAAAATATACTCTTAGATGATAACATTTAGATGTGACCAGAAGCCCTTTTGATTCTTACTTAAAAAAAATTTTTTTTTCAATAGGATCAAGTTTTTCATGAAAAGTTTCTAAATTAATTAGTTATATGTGCATGTAATTACTTTTGATTAATTATAGTAAATAAACAGTTTAAATATTCCCTACTAGTTGTGGCATGTTTCAATATGGTTTTATACTAACATGTTAACTGTAAATATTAATAACAACAACAGCCATGACTGTGGAAGTTAATAAATTTATACATAAAACCTATCTTGTTGAAACCATATCTTACTTTACCAAAGATTCAATATAACAGCTGATATGAGCATGCATAGATATATATAGCATACAAAGAATTTATTCATTTGCAGTTGTATATGATTGAGAAAAACATAATTTTCACAAAACCATAAAATATATGTAGATTGATAAAGTCTGTTTTCAAATTACATATAAACTCAAATTGCATACAAGATAATTCATTTATAAGGTTTGTGCTAAACATATGTAACCAAAGCAAGCATATTTTTTATCATTTGATATAAACATTATAAAAGAATATCTAAACAAAAATGAAAATCTTTTATGAGTAAAAGTATTGAATTAATAATCTAAAATTTTCTTCCAAAATATTTTTTTTTTCAACAAACAACTTAATTTTTTATGTTGGGTGTCAGATTGGATAAATGTATATAATTGAGCCAAAGCTGATCCAAACCACAAAGGACACTTGCAAAGCAACAGCTGTATAAGTCAACTAAATTGTAAGCAAATTTGATTTTTTTTTTAATGATATAGAAAATAAAAAGTGGTGATCATCTTCAGCTAATAATAAATCTTTGTGTCTACAACAGAGAAAAATCTAAAACAAAAAAGAAATGAGTTTCTACAAAAATAACAAGCAGAAAAATATACAACACAGGATAGGATGACCATTAACCAATATTGACCTTTACCAAATAAACAACCATGACCTCTTAATAGTTGTATTTAAGCACTTAAATAAGGCAAGGACATTATTGATAAAAAGATTGAGATGAAGTTTACTAAATCTTAATTCATATTTGGTTTACATGGAAAAAGTATACTTTTAAATTTTTGTTGTTGTTTTTGATAAATCCAGAGATATATATAGAAATAGAGATGGGAAACTAAAAGTTACTGTTTTATGAAGCTGTCAACATTGTGTGTGTAACTTCTTTAGCAGCATTCTCTATCAAGATTACTTAAGATCCCACGAGACTGCAGAGAAACTTTTATATCCAGAGAATATACAAATGATGTTTAACGAAAAATTTACTATTCAGATGATTTTTGCCCTTTTCGACAAATACAAGGAAAATGTACAAAATTGTTATTGTTGTCTAAGCAACTGCACATTTTAAGGAGATTTTTAGTAATCTTGTTTATTATGTAGAATGATGAGAACAAGTTTACATGCATGAAATTGGTTCATTTTTTACTTGCCAATCTCACTTTATAAGTCTCTGGTAAATCTTTATATGAAGTTGAACCTTGTTTTTTATAATGTACTCAAAAAAAACTTAATTGGTATTATAAAGTGAATTATAAAACACAATAATAAGATGAACACTCCTCCTTGTTTTGTTTAAAAGTCAATCAGTCATGTTTGTACAAAGATGAAGGTCAACATGTGAATTATACAACAAAGAAATGCATAAAAGACATATTTTGCCAAATTACTCATTTAGTTTTTTCTTCTTCAAAAATTCGTAAATACAGTGTATTTGCAAAAAGTTATTTCCAACCAAAAGAGCTTTTAAATACTTAATATTAAAAATAATATATATGTGTATTTTTTTAACAGAAAAATACAGGTAAAGTTACTTAAATGTAGACATTGCTTTAATTATGTTAATTAATCATGTTTAACGTGAACAGAAACACAAGTAAGGCCATGACAAAATCTAAGGCAGAAAATAATTTAGAAACTGGTTTTTTTATACACTGCAACACCAGACAATATTGGACTATACACATAATACATACTATGAGAGCCGTCAGCTGTGAGGGCAGCATTCTGTGGGTTCAAGTAAGCATTGATCATAACAACAGTCTGAAACATACAACACACATCACATTATAATCAATGCTATACTACATGTGATTCATCCCTTTTATCATCACAAATTTATAATTTTCTCCCAACCCAAATCACGCTCTACACTTATTTTGATATGGACTTTGTTATTGAATCTTTCACAATTTGATTGGATGACATCATGATTGCTTCACCTCTACCTGTTTACCTGTTGACATTTTGTTTTGTGTATTATGTCAAAATGTGAATGTTAGAATAACAAGGTTGGCAACTCTGAAGTTAAAAAATTTAAGAAATAATAAAATTACTTTTGTTTGTCGATTGAAGATTATAGTTATGATTTGCTTCTTCTGTCTTTCTTCCACACTTAAGGTGCAAGTCTGAAAAATGTACTCATTGATTGGACTATTGATCTACTAAACATGCTAAATATGATAAAAATAATGTTCTTATGTTATGTCACCTGACTAAATGTTGGTTTGTTGTGAAGACGTGAACATCTTTCTCCATGTCGACAGGCTCCAATTTTAAAGTAAAAGGAACAGTTAACTCTGAAATGAAACAAAACCAAAACGTCAATGTATTTCTCCGGGACTAAGTCCTTTTGTCAAACAAAAAAAATGCATATTTCTTTATGCAAGTACAATAGATAAAACGTTCAAACCCGCTGCATTTGTTTGCACCTGTCCTAAGTCAGGAACCTGTTGTTCAGTGGTATTCGTTTGTTGATGTGGTTCATAAGTGTTTCTCGTTTCTTATATAGATTAGACCGTTGGTTTTCCTGTTTGAATGGTTTTACACTAGTCATTTTTGGGGCCCTTTATAGCTTGCTGTTTGGTGTGAGCCAAGGCTCCGTGTTGAAGGCCGTACTTTGACCTACATGTATAATGGTTTACTTTTACAAATTGTGACTTGGATGGAGAGTTGTCTCATTGGCACTCGTACCACATCTTCTTATATCTATGTACATATAATCCCATCATAAATTTATATCCCATTTGGGTGATTGGTCATTACATATGCATGTGAAGACTGAAATACATGTACATGTATTTAGCAAGAATCTCTTTAAATTGGTTAAAAGTGAGGTTGGAAACAATTGTTGGTCCCATTCTTCCCACTGAAAATTATGTCTTTGACTTTCCCCAGTCTTAAGCAAGCAATTTCATTTTCAGCTAAGATGGCAATTTTGGAACCATATCTGCGAATTCAACTTATACCAATTTTACCTTTGATCTGATTATACAATCACAATCCTGGAAATTGTCCTAAAAAATGTTTTTTTTTAATATCTGCACAGAAATCTTTTGATGCAAACAAGAATTATACCTAGTCCAAATAATTATGACGTCTTAAGCTATTCTAATTTTTTGCTGTGATGCCTTTCTGCGAAGTCATAAAGCCGAATTCATTTTTTTCCATTGGCCTTTGAGAGACAATTTTCCTCTCAACATTGTGTCATTGCAAAAAAGTAAAATAGCCTTTCAAGACGTCATAATTGTTTGGACTAGGATAGTACCGTGAAATCACAAAAAATAAGTTAGTAAATGTTTTTGGGAATGTTTTAGATTCTGCTAAGTGAAAAACGTCACCTTGAATGAATGTAAACATGGTAAAGATAGTTTAAAAATATCTGATAAAAAAAGCCAGTGCCAATTATACATATACATGATATATAGACCTTTACGCTATTTGGAAATCTGCGCCGCTTGACCCGGGAATCTGCGCCTCTTGAACTTTTGACATCATACAACAATCACTTTTCCATTGTGGAGTCAGATATTTTCTATTATGATGTCAAAATTTTACGGGAACCTTTGTGATGTCCAGTAATGGCGGACAAATAGCCATAAGCATGATAAGGGGGAGCGTCTTTTTACCACAGAATACCACAGAAACACCCAAAATTTACCACAGAACTTCGAAATATTAATACTTCAGACATTATTATGGTGTTATTGTTCATTATTTTTGTAATTTGACATTTATTATTCAAATGAATTTGATTTTTCTATTTAGGGTCGACTCACTATCGCTACGCTCCCAACTGAATGGCCAATAATTGGGATCATACCAAAAACCCTATGCTATTAAAACCATAATATACAAAGATTATTTATATTTGTGACATTTATATTTTAAATACATTTTAATCTTTTTTGTAATTTTAAATCATTTTTGAAAATGTTTAGATGCATTACGTAATTATTTGTTAAATCTATCATGTTTATTTTGTTTATCAGTTTTTTTGGTCACTTTTTTATTAATTTTATGTTAAGAGTTGCTACAATAAATAATCAAAATGGTTAATGTGACATTTAATTACATTTGTTGTCAACAAATAATTAAACTTAATTAAAGTGATTAAAGTAATTAGTTAAGCTGATATCAAGAGTTGTTTCAAACAATTATTTAAACTTGGCTAATGTTGGTACATCAAAGTTTTCTCCATTAGAGTTATATATAAAACAATCCTGTGTTAAGGGCTACCAAATACTTTCAAAAAGATATCTTAAGTTGTAGTTGGACAGTAATATTTTGAGTTGTTTAATAACATATTATAAGTGTGTCTTAATTGTCAAAAAGTTCAAGTTCGATGACTGTTTTTGGATTCTTATGTTGTGTGTGTATCTTCTCCAATCATTTGACAATATTTCCGATTTTTACCAAATTTTGTATGCATTTGGAAATCGTTGAACTGAAACTTTATATCGAAAAAACTGGTACATGTATATGTAGCATTTACATATAGATTCTATATTTTTGAGTCCAAAATTAATGTTGACCTTAGTAAGTTCACAGACACAATTAAAGTACCAAAATTTAATTAGATTAACCAATTTTGACACTTGTCGTAATCACCAATCAAGCCAATTAACATGTCATTTAAGTTTTCACACATGAGACATCAAATAAATTTAATTGAATTACCTTATATAATCAGGTGGCAACTAGAATCCAAACAGTGAAGACTTTTGTAAATATTCCATTATTAATGATATATATATTATATTAAATAGAATGTTGATAGCAGTCTTCCTGTTCTAATATATTGTCAAGTAATTTCAAGAATACAATTTTTATAATAATAAAAATTCAAGATTAAAATGTGAGCCGATGATCACCATCATTTTATTTGAAAAATTAAAATTATTGTCTCATAGGTTTATTAATTTCACAGAAAAAATAGTTACATATGAGAAATATTAACTCTTCCTGCCAATCAAGTCAATATTATTCATAGCGTGATTTGCGCCGGTAAAATTCGTCAGGTCAACTTTTTTTGTAGAATTTTTTTTTTTTTACTATAAAAGATAAATGTTGTATTTTCATATAAAATATTCATTAATCTCGCAGATTTCTTAATTTAATGAAAAAATGTTAAAAGAAAAAGCGATATTAGCATAATAATTCTTATATGATTTGCATATTAGAGAATACGTTGATATGATTGGTTGAGAGGACTTCCGGTAGTTGTTCTTGACGTTGTTTATTTTTCAATAGACGACGTTGACCAAACTTCTTTTCGTAACCAATGTAAACAAGATGGCAGCGATAATGACACAATCCGGATAGACGTAAACAAAATTTATTTTCAATTCGCGTTAATAGGTCTTAATAGTTAAATTAAATGATATTTATTATTAAACAGAAAACATTCGTTTGAATGATAATAAGAGTTTTTGTGGTTTATTTTTTATCAGATTGCAAATTTCATGGAGTACATATTTTTGCGTTAACCAACAAATATATTCATGCGCCAGGCCTATTCAGTGACACAAATATACAATTTACTTGTGATAGAGGTTACGAGTGTGGAAAAATAAATTCCTTATCTCCAAATTTAAAGAATTATAAGGATTAAACGCCTTTTTAAAGGAATTTATTGGTGTATAAACTATACCAAGTCACTCACAAACATATCATAAAGGTCCTTCGGACTTTTATTTGTTTGTGAGTGAATTGGTCGAGTTTATACACCAATAAATTCCTTTAAAAAGGCGTTTAATCTAATATTAGCACTCTCTGTCGATCAGATCAATATTATATGTAGCGTAATATTCGCTGGTAAAATCCGTCAGATCAACTTTTTTGTAGAAAAACATGTTTTATTTATATAAAAATTTTATTGTTAAACAACATATTTAATAAACTCGCAGATTTCTTAATTTCACAAAAAATATTGTAAAACAATAGAGATTTTAACACTTTTTATCGATCAGTTCAATATATTCAAAGTGTATATTGGATCATATTGATCGTGCGGTAAATTTTTTTGGCTCAAAACCATTTTTTAAAATGTTTATTTTAGATTTTCATTATTACAATGCAAAAGTTTAGTGTCTCAAAGGTCTCCAAATGTAAAAAAATATGCCAAATAACAAAAAAATTATATGATCATTTTTATCTCATCCAGTCAATCGTCATGTCATTGGTCATGTTGGTGTAACCCGAATTAAAGAAATAATGTAATTCTGAATTATTAGATTTGCATTTTACTAATTCTAATGTTCTGTGATATATTTCAGTAGTTTTATTGTAATGTGTGTAGTTCTGTGGTATATTTTGAGTGGTCTGCGGTATTCTGTGATAAAAAGACGCTCCGGCCATAAGGTGTGTTGTAAGTTGTAACTGGACACAGTTTGCCATGTACATGATGGAGGGGCCTGATGGGTTATTTTCGTTCTTCGTGATCGGCGCATTTTCGCAATCGTGATCTGTTTTTCTACAGATTTATTTTTTTTATATATTTTCGTGATCCGTGATCATGGAAATTTATTTTCTGTGAATCGTGATTGACAAAAAAATCAACTTGTGAATCGTGATGAGACCCCCCCATCAGGCCCCTCACGATGTATAATCCCTTTCGGGATTCTATGTCAGGAGCGATTTTCTTATTTTACTTTTGGTAGAATTATGGAAAAGTACGCACTATTCAAAAGATATCATATTTATCCCGATATATTAGGAGTCTAGTGAACAATAAAGCAAAAATCCTCAAGTGCGTCACTAGCCGACCGCACTGTACACATCTCTTTATATCAACTCTTAATGTAAGAAAAGGGAGGAAACTTTGAAGCTTAAAATAAATTTTCTAAATTATCATAATCTTTTGAAATGATAATTTTCATGCTTTAATCAATTTGAGCGTTATTTATGGACATACTTGTCTTTTTCTGTTCCAAAAATCGATGCGAGATACTCAGCCATGTTTAATTTCTGGATCTAGCGTTCGACCGACGAAGAACCTATGAGCGATTGCTCCTGTACGTTCTATAAAACAGGAAACCATGATCATTTATTAAAGTCTAACTAAAAACCATAAACATCTTATATATTGAAAGAGGTCGATATCTCAAACTGCCAGCAGAGGAGAGGATTTGTAAACTGTAGGAGTTGAAGATGAATTTCATTTTATTATTACATGTACCAAACTGAAAAAGCCAAGGGAAAAATTATTAAAAACATTATTTCTGTAACACCTTCTTTTTCTGATTTTTCTGAGTTTGAGAAATCAAGTTAAATTTACTGTATAGTAAGCAGTAATGACTTAGATATATGTAAAATATGTATTTTAGGTGTCAACAAGATGTATGATATGAATCTGTCTTTAAAACAAGATGTATAATACTAATCACTCGCTGTATAAATTGTATTTCTACTGAATTAAAGTATTTTCATTGTCACGTGTGTAGTAAGGGAGATAATCTGTAGTGGTGGTCACTTTGTTTACTTGTTAATTTTATTTATTTGGGGAAATTGGTTAATGTTATAGTATTATTTATAGTTCCGTAACTCTTTCTCCCGAGACCGGCCATGTAAATTATTCTTGTCGGGACTTCCTGCCTCTTGCACGTGCCTGACATCTGGCCCGGCCGGGCTCGTTGTCACTAGGAACTATAAGAATGACGTCACTCACCGGGTTCAGGGCAGTCTACACGTAGGATTTGAAATGAGCAGACGCTCATACCGTTTGGCTTGCAAATTTATATGGAACTTTACAATGACAAGTAGACTAGCCACCACCGTATATTTTAGTATTCTTGTATGTAACTTATACTGGTCGAGGACCAGTTACCGTCACTTTTTGTCAGTATATTTCATTTATCTTCTTAACATGAGAAAATTTAAATCTATCCTTTGACAAGGAAAGTGGTTACCAAAATTACTTTAATATGTCAATTGATCAGTGTTAAATATTGACCAAATTTTCGTGAAATTAACTTTTTACGGCGTCCGATTTCGTACGAAATTTGAAGATACCGAAGACCAGTTACCGTCAGCGAATTCTAGACAGTTCGGCACCCAGACAAATCGGCACCCGAGAAAGACAGTTCGGCACCCAGACAAATCGGCACCCGAGAAAGACACTTCGGCACCCAGACAAATCGGCACCCGAGAAAGACACTTCGAATCGGCACCTCATAAAGATAAAATCAATTATCAAATTCTTGATCAAAATATAATGAACCAAAAATCAAAATTTACTGGGACTGATATAGATATATATGTGGGCATGACCCCAATTTGCAAGTTTAGTGTTAATATAGCAATAATTTTCGACTGTTTTTACAAATAACCAATTTGATTCCTGCACTATTTATGACATTATTGTATATGGTATCTTCGATGAAGTATCTTATGAAGTGGTTTATACTTTTTGTTGTTTATTTGTGAAGACTGTATTGCAGCTTAGTCATTTGGGTAGCTGTCTTATTTGTGTGTATTCTTTTTCCATATGCATGAAAATTGATTTCATAGATTTCACCATTCATGTACTAGTTTTAATGTAATGCATAGTTCTATTCCGATAATATTCTAAATCAATAAAACACATGTAGCATATTTATAATATTTATTTTATTGATTATAATTATATTCATAACAGTTTATAGACACGTTAACAGCACTAGATTTGCATCAAAGGTGAACACATGATAGTAATGAAACATTTTAAATACTGTAAATATAACATATATACAGGCAGCACTATAAGTTTTAACAAAGTCACTTTGGTGGTGTTCCGTACACACCGGCACATTCCTTTAGCAGTCTGGAGGTGGAGATGCTGTTGCTACAATACTGGTCCCACAGTCTATACACTTTTGATCTCCATTGAGAAATTATCAAATTTCATTATAAACTTACATAAAATACTGATTAATGCATAACTACAATTACTTATGATTTAATTAAATGATGTTTATTCAAACACCATCATATTTAACAATCAATTAGGATTTGATTAAAATTTAATGATGTTTATTCAAACACCATCGTTTAGGATTTAATTATAAAAAGACAAATATTTTTTCAAATTTTGTAATGCATATTTTATTTACGGATTTTAATATTTCTGTAACAATTCTTTTATTTTTCTTAATATTTATAGATTATCGTTGGTTATCTCAACGAGATTGATTTTCTCGCTTGAGCCGGTACGGCGAAAGTGAGAAAAGCAATCAAGTTGGAATGACCAATGATAATCTCTTTATCGCTGTTTTACCTATGACGACGTAACCCGAATAATTCAGTCCCTCCCCGTGATCGGCTCTCCCACTCGTTAATGTAGCCATTGTAGAGCAGTGGAATTTAACGACTGAATTATTCGGGTTAATGACGACGTTGTTAATTTTATTGACAACGGGCACGTGGGCCCTTAGTTTCTAGCGATAATTTTTCATATCACTCGACTCCACTGAGAAAGAAAATGATCAGTCAGTCAGCAAGATCATAGGAAAATTTGTAAAGTAGCGAAAAAAATGAGGTGCCGAATTTTCTTCGTCCCGAAATGTCCAAACCGGATGCCGAAATGTCTTCGGACCTGGGTGCCGATTTGTCTGGGTGCCGAAATGTCTTGTTACCACCGTCAGCACCGAAATTGATACAATTCTCTCTCAATGGTTGTCAGATGACTTTAAACACGGTCTCAAACTATTCTTATAAAATGTATAGTATCGATTTTTTACATTAAATGTTATGAATCAATTTGGAGATAAGCAGATATTTTTTTATCGTTGAAGCGTCGTCTTCGTTACGCAGGAGTTATCTCTCTTTACTTACCTTGTCAAAGTGCCTCATTTTAATTTACCGCCCTTTATGATTAATGGTAAACCCCGGCGGTGAACAACGTGGAAAGCATGGCTGGACGTGGAATGAAGTTGACTGACCAACTGTGAGGAGAAGAAATTTGAAACAGACGAATAAACAGTCGAGATTTTACTCAAAATAGATCGCACATTTGGTTGTGATAGTCGAGATCAGTTGAAATATGGTGAAGCTTCCAGACAGCTCCAGTTTACACGCAGGTAATTTCACTAAAACACGGATCAACATTTAATTTATAAGAGGGGGGACAAGGGGTTTAACTGTTATGCTGTTTTGGGGCAATTTAATTCTTTGTTATCTGTTATTCTGAAAATATATTTGCTGTTAGCTGTTATAGTCGTATTCCTTGTTAGCTGTTATTGGACTATTAGTTTTTTTGTCATCTGTTATTGTGAGAATGTATTTGCTGTTAACTGTTATTGAAAATTGGAATGTTAGCATTTTGACAGCCAATCTTCAGTAGAAATTGAATTGGGATCTTTCCACTAGTAACATGGTGGTCCCGTATTCGGAGAAGGATTCAATAGACGTATTTACACTTGTATGCAAATTTGTCCGCCATTACGTAAAATCACACAGGTCCCCGTAAACTTTGACATCATAATTCAAAACATTTGACGTCACAATTAAAAAGTGATTGTTGCCTGACGTCAAAAGGTCATTTGGAGTAGATATAAGGTCATTCGGAGGCAAAATATAGCTAAATACCAAAAGTGTAAATACGTTTATTAACATATAGACATTTGAATGGGTTTACAGTACACTAATCATTTTTGGACCCTTCATGGCTTGCTGTTCGGTGTGAGCCAAGGCTCGGTGTTGAAGACCGTACTTTGACGATCTTTGCCGGACCTATATTAATGGTTTACTTTTACAAATTGTGACTTGGATGGAGAGTTGTCTCATTGGCACTCATACCACATCTTATATTTAATCACAGATCATCACAGGACCATTACAGTATATATTGTTATTATCCTTTGTAATCAATTCCTTTTTCTATGACCATGTATTTAGAATTATCTTGATTTTTACGTATAGGGATAACGATCCTTGTTTTCCCTGTATGTGCATATTAAATTCGAACAATTCTTTTAAAATATTACAAAAATTCATAAGGGTTCCGCGGAACCCAGTACTAGTGTCTCGCCTACTTTTGATGTTAGTCGCAGGCTCAACAAAATGGGTAAAAAGTTATTAAATAAATGGGGATAGTGTCCATTGGACACAGATGATGCCCCCGTTTGCATATCATATACAGTTATAAAGGGACATAACTGAAGAACAGTAAAATTGACCCTACCCAAATTTGTACTTGATCTGAGTATTGTGGTAATACGTATTAATATGTATAAGTTTCATAAAATTTGATTGATGCAAACTTAATTTACTCGGAGAACGGAAACGAAAAATTCAGCAATTTTTCCATTTGTAAAGTGGCATAACTCTAGAAAATTTAGTGACAACCCCAAATTTCAAACTGGATCTGTATTTTGTGGTAATAAGCATTGTGTACAAGTTGCATAGCATTTGGTTGAGGCAAACTAAAGTTAGAGAACGGAAATAAAAAATTCAGCAATTTTTCCATTTGTGAAGGGGCATAAGTTAACTCTAAAACGGTTAAAGTGACGCCCCCAATATTCAAACTTGATCTGTATTTTGTGGTAATAAGCATTGTGTATAAGTTTCATTGCATTTGGTTGAGGCAAACTAAAGTTAGAGAACGGAAACTAAAAAAATCAGCATTTTTTTCATTTGTAAAGGGGCATAACTCTAGAACGGTTAAAGTGACACCCCCAAAATTCATACTTGATATGTATTTTGTGGTAATACGCTTGTGTATAAGTTTCATAGCGTTTGGTTGAGGCAAACTAAAGTTAGAGAACGGAAACGAAAAATTCAGCAATTTTTTCGTTTGTAAAGGGGCGTAACTTTAGAACGGTTACAGTGACACCACCAAAATTCATACTTGATCTGTGTTTTGTGGTAATAAGCATTGTGTATAAGTTTCATAACATTTAGCTGAGGCAAACTAAAGTTAGAGAACGGAAACCGACTTTGGGACGTACGGACGGACGTATGTACAGACGGTCAAGGGTAAAACTTAATGCCCCCT